TTCTTATTGTCTGTCTTTGGATAAGGTCACTACTGAGTTGTTTATGTATACAGTAACACATATTTGTTGTTACAGTTAGATGTTTCTTTGCAGATATATTAATTACACATTGAACTTCCATCTTTAATAATATTATAACTCCAATGACTTTGTGTCATTAGAATAAATCAGATATACAAAAGTGATTCAATACTTTCCATTTATTTCCTTCCCCATTAATGACATGGTATTAATTATCAGAAATACTATCAACATTGCAAAAAAAGAAATAATAGGAAAAAGATATAATGGTTATCTTAAAAGAATGTTTTTATAAGGAAAACTTGAAATATAGAAACAAAACGAGACAAATAATTTGAAAAATATAATTGAAAAATAAAATATTGTATAGCTATATAGTATAATAAATACATTATGATATTTTCTATTTATTAATAGTTGACAAGTTGAAATTTATTAATAGTTGACCTAACGTTGATGATTAATAAATGACTCAAGATTAAGCTATTATAACATAGAATGTTTACAAGTTTTTGATATTATTGACTAAAATTATGGCATAGATGTTTCAAAATTAATACATTTATTTCTACATTCATGAAATATTTAAAAAAATTCTATTGTTTATGATACAGCTATTCGCTTGTATCGATTGGTATTGTTCCAAAAAGCGTCGGTAATGAAAATTTCCCTCAATTATTTAAGATTTCGATGCTTCCCATCGAACACTTATATATTTCAGTGTTTGTGTATATCACGTATATAATATTAGTCCCATCATTACAGATGCATTGCAACCAACGATGAATACGATGAAAACAAAAGTGTATGCAAACAAAGTAACCGCAGAATGCTGACGGATATCTGAATGCATATGGGGCTGCGGCAAAAAGCGATTACGTTTGCAAAATCGATAGCGACTGGGTTCCAAAAGAATCCCGTTAGCCAGTTTACGAGTGTTAATAAATGAAAAGTGACAGCTACGTGACAGTAAGAACACTTGGACATGTCGCGTATTTACATTCGATGATTTAATCAGAAACGGTGTAAGACTTACTGCATCTTACAAGCTGCAGCTTTTCCTGCCGCCGCTGAGCACCGCCGAAAATGAAATTTCGTTCAACACGTCCGGCGATATTGAATAACACACGCACCTTTCACTTTCCCTCCCGTTTTTTAACACTCGACCGTGCGCAAATCGGTCGAGATCAGCCCGTTACCAGCCCCGCTGTATCATCCTGCTCGAGCACGAAACAGACTTGTTCCAAGTTGATGCAATTCTTAGATGACGCTAGAAACCTGTGACAATAGTTCTTCACTTCATCGTTAGATGGCCGTCGATCTCTATTGTCCTCGCTGCTGATACTTCATACTATACTCCAATATATACTGATAAATGAATATGTTTCTCAAAAACTTTCCTCGATTACAATTCCAGAAAACCGAGATTTTAATATAGGATTACGGGAGTATAACATTTTGTGTATTCTGACATGTTCTTGATGACGACACTTCTTTACTGCACTCTTACAATACGTATTGTAAATCCGTGTCACTGATAACTACTAAAACATGGTATCTGATATAAAATTTTGGTCCTGCTTCATCTAAATTAAAATATCATGTATATATATTCGCTAAGTTGTTTCTTTTTTTATTTTATTTAATTATTTTGCTTGGGATGAGAACATATTCAGCAAAACAAAAATAATATTGAGTATATAATAATAAATACATAAAAAAATAATTATTTTATACTATTGTCAGTGAAAGGATATAATATTCATTCAAAATTCTTTCAAACATTAGATACAAATATTAGAATTATTTCATTCGAATAGTTAAATATTCCGCGAAGTACTTGCGAGAATCAATTGCCGTTTATATCCCTCTAGTGAAGAACTCACGAGACTCCACTACGGACGCCTTCATTGTGGCTCCACCTTTAGGGTAAAGAATTCATTAGTTCCATGGAAACGTAGGATAACAGTTTCTAACAGCCTCGTTCCGGCCATGGAATTCATTTAAACAAAACAAACGCGTCGTTTGTCAATAATACGGAAGACACCGTCGCTACAACCGATACATCTAACCTCTCCGAATCTCTGGGGAGCCGTGCGATCGGTCACGGTGTCCGGGATCGTGGAATCGCGTACCCGCGCATGATCAGACGGGAATAAATCTTTCTGTGTCAGAAAAATTCTGTCGCTGTGTGTATGCCTTAAAATGATACACTGTCATCTGTGAAAGCGTCGCGAACGTAAACAAACTGTCCGAACGCGGTGTTCTCGTGATTCCGCGTTATTCTCATTTTGCTTGTCTCGGCACAGTCGCGGCTAGTATGACCACCGACAGGATTTGTTTTCGTGCGACTGGACGGCTCCCTGTGCCCGCAATAATGCGCCGTCAGCTGTACAACCGTGTTTGTTTAACGCGAAATGCTCGTCCCTCGTAAAGATTTGCGTCGCTTTCGGTGATGATATGGAGGAGGACCGGGCCACGGATCGGAACGCACTGTGCCGCGATAAACTTTTATTTACATGTAGACTAAGTCGACGAGTATAAACATGGCCGTCGCACTTTGTGTTGATTACTTGTGTCAGTTCGGGATCAAGGAAGTCCAGCTAGAATGGAAATAATGGACGGAACTCGTGCATCCGAATTATCCAGGTAAATGAGACGGTTCCGTCGTTGCTGGACGTTTCTCCGCTTTCGCCCTTTGGTTACGCGGCTCGCTTTACGCGTCGATTCCGTGCATCTTAGCCTCTTCGTCCGCGTATAATCGCGCACTCGTGTATTAAATATCTTCGACTAGGTTTATTATTTTCGTTTTTTTCCTTACTTTTCTCGTTTGCTTTTCGATTCAGTTTTTCTTTTCCTTTTCATGTAGTCGCTCGAGGGTGATTGAACCTTGCCAGACGTATGTCATGCCACATTGTTAACGCGTAACGCGATCGCAATCATAGCTCAGCTGACTACTATTGACCTATTGGTGTTGCTGTCAGGAGGAAGTTTTCAGGGCTGTTTTGTAACGAAACCGTTGGATTTCCCACGGTTTTTCATTTATTCCGCCGTGACGATCTCCGTCGCTGAAACGATTGTTACTTGTGTAGTGGATTTTCCGTTGCGTTTGATTTAAATAAGTGTGCTAGTGATGTTGTATTCGAGTGTCCTCAATTGTGAGTGTTGCATTTTGCAGCAGTGCACACAACCGACGCATTTTGTGCAATGTATGTGCACGTGTATTTACGTTAGTTGATTGTTATTTAATGTATTTTGAGTGTATTTCTGGAAATGTTTATTATTTTATTGTTTTTCAATGGTTTATTCGACCTGGAGGTATTTATATTGATTGTAGCACCACAAAACAAATTTTGTTTATGTATATAAAAATTATCAGTTTGTTTGTTAGTTGGTCAATAAATGTATATTGAAATATATATGTGTATTTATTTTGGTTCAATCATTTACATTTGAAATTAGTTTGTTGTTTGTATGGTGATTCTCAATAATATGTGTTTTTGTGTAGTTGAAAAACTTATACAGAATGTATATGTATAATTATATTATGAAAACTTTGAAAAGAATTATTATTGTTGGAAGCTTGCTTGTATTATTTATTGCTGGAAGAAAATAATGTTAAATATCAGCCCTATTTACTTCCTGCTACCTTATACTTTAATCTTTGCTCTCAATACATGCTGGATATTAAAGGTCATCTGTACAATAATAAACACCGATAACAACAGTATTCTTGGAGATTCGTTTGCATGGTTAATTTTATGTTTTGAACATGTAACTTGTTGTATAAAAGTGAAAGTAAAAGCTTTATTTTCTGCTTTATTTGCATTTTAATATAAACATTTGTATTTAGTGATTGTTTTAGCATTTATATTAGTAATATGCTTTGTAATTTTGCAATAACTTTTCTGGAAACAATTTATATTCGTAATTAAAAATGTATGCAATTCATGTGCATATCAGATGTAAATGTTTATATTAATGTTTTAATTTTATTGTTTATAATGTTGTCATCAGAAAAGTTGATTAAGTAACAGCTAGTATACTTAATATTGCTTTTATGCATTTGCTTGCAAGAAGCTATTTTTAATAGATGTAGTGTTTACTCACAGCTTTCAAATTGATTAGAAATTTCAAAGCATTAAGAAAACAATTTATTTGTGGACTTACCTAATAAGATAATCATTATAAATAGATAGTAAATAAATATTTGAACATATGATGACTTTCAAAAATGTATTCCTTTCAAGCTTCGATAATTTCGTCGGAAATGGGTGAACAAATTTTCGAGCATTGAGATATCCATTTAAAAGGCGCTTCCGAATCAATGCAGAGCACTTTCTAGGTAAATATCGTATGTTAGCTAACAAAGTGAAAGTTTCAGATGCGATCGACGACTTTCGTTATTTTTACGTAAACCACTACAGCGCGTATGGAAGCTTCTTTAAAAAAAATTTTGGGAAACAAATGCTCCATGTTAGAAAGTTAATAAAAATTTTATATAAATAATGAATATAATAAACAATGTTTGTTTCGCAACTTTTTTAAAAATATTTAAAGATTTTATATAAATAATATAAAATTATTCATTTTGTTTCAATTTGTAAATAGAGTTAACTATAATGCACGTTAGTTATTAATTGTTCATTAGAAAACAATGAAAAGGTCATATTTATAACAGTCATTGTATTTGACTCTGATACTTTGAAATATTGATATTGAAAAATATTTGTTTTTTAATTTCTACTTCAGGTAGAGTTTACGTATAGAATTATGTGACCTTTTACAATATAACGTTAAACATTTTTAATGGCAAGGTTCAAAGTTCATATGTAGTCAGCATCAAATAGAAAGGAGTAATCTTCAAGATATATTTATAGTACCCTAGTATACTAATGATTTCAGGCTGTTGTCTGGGTGAGCAATGAATGTATTCCGAATTTTGACTCCATGTGTATTACAACGAAGACGACCAAAGGAGGTACATAATTCCGATAAAAGGGATTGCTGGTTTGTGAAAAGACGGCGCGGAGATGCTTCCTACATGATACATAGAATGGGTGCTTCTGCATCGTCAAGCATCACCAGTGTAGGTGGAGATTCAGTCCAAGCAGCTAGACTCTCATCTAATCCTGATCAACATGGCATTGCTATCAGGTAATTACATATTTGTTCTCTTCATTATCTTGTTTGTTTTTTTGTAGTTTATAGCCCCAATTACTGCTGATATAAATCCATGTAATTAAGCATAGCTGTTAATATCCTCGGAATCTTAACAAGAGCATTAAATTCCAAACTAACAATTGCAAAAAGGATTCTGTGAAAAAGTCTGTTTTATTTTCAGGGAAAAGAAGAAGAAAATGACGGGGTTCGCAACGTTAAGGAAGAAATTCATTCGAAGACGCAGGTCTTCGAAAGCCTGTGATCATGGTAGAATAATCAGAGATTTAGTGTCAACATGGAGTCATCTAGAGGCAACGGCTCTTTTAGAAGAGTACGAGGCCTTAGCTGCTCTAAAGGATTTACATGTACAAGCCGAATTAGCTAGACCACCAGCAGCAACGTATAAGCAAGACTTGTCAATGCTATACGATTACAAACACTGTTCTGATGTAGATCTCGTTTATCGTGGAGCCTGTTTTCCCGTTCATAGAGCACTGTTGTCTGCGCGTTGCCCATATTTTAGGGACCTGTTAGCTGGTTGTCCAGGTACACAAATGTTTGTCTTTCTTTAAACCTCAAAACTACTTTCTAAAGTACAATTATGTTCCATTTGAAATATCACCTTTGTAAATGATTAAAGTTTAAAGATTACTGCTTCAAACGCTAGGGTAATATTTAATTATTTCTCTTTTAGTGTTCTTTAAATGCTTCAATAAAAAGTAGTTAATTGATTGAAAAACTAATGACAAAGAAAGTTATTAAATGTGAATATACAGAGTATGCATTGTGTTTTAGGATATGGCGCCAGGATATGCCTAGAACTAAGAACACCGAATCTCGAAGTTCAAATGTTTTCGGCGCTGTTGCGCTATCTCTACACTGGTGATATTTGCCCACATGATGCAGCTGTGGAGGCGAACCTTCTACGACGATTAGGAGAAGAATTCGGCACACCGAACCCGTTGGAACACGATCTCAGATATTTACTGGATACTGGTGATTATGCAGATGCCGCATTAGTGTTCACGTCGGACAGTGATTATCAGAGACCAGATAGTGGGAGTTCAGAATACGGATTCCGGCCAAAATTAGAACTGCCATGTCATAAAGCGATACTTTCTGCGAGATCTCCGTTCTTCAGGAACTTAATACAAAGACGGACTAGATCAGGGGAAGATCACACAGAAAGGGCGCTTCATATACCTACTAGAATAGTTTTGGACGAGAGTGTAATTCCCAAACGATATGCCAGAGTATTATTACATGCAGTGTATTTAGATACCGTTGATTTATCGTTAATAATGAGAGGTAATGGTTGCGGAAACAGCGCTGGTAGTCTTGGGGAGGTAATTATATTCCACATAAATAATTTTAATTATCCAATCTCGATTATTAATATACCTTTTTTCCAATCTGGCAATGTACTTCATAAACTCCTTTGCTTCTATTCATTCTCAGGTTCAAGCTCTCACTCATACTGGACGTGTTCGACCAAGCCCCTTGGAGGAAGCAATGGAATTGTACCAAATTGGCAGATTTTTGGAGTTAGATATATTGTCACAGGGTTGTGAAGATCTTATTTTAGAATACCTTACATTGGAATCTCTACCAGCTGTGCTGAAGTGAGTTTCACATGAGGTCCTACTTTAAAATTTGCATCCCTTGCGTAACAAACTTCTTATCGTTTTGTCAAATTACTTATTTTTATTTTTAGATGGGGTAGTCAACCTCATGGATCTGCGTGGGTACACAGACAAGCGTTGCATTATTTGAGAGAAGAATTTCAGCCAGTCGCTTCCTCTTCTATTCTTCATCAATTGGATCACGCACATTTGGCGAACGTTTTGCAAAGTCATTTTTTGCAAGCTAGCGAGCTTGAAATACTGCAGGCAGTACTCAAGTGGGGGGAACAAGAATTGGTACGCCGTATGGAAGACAGGGAGCCTAATTTACTTAGTCATACAGTGCACTCCGTGACAAGGAAGGGGCTGAAGAAAAGGGACCTAAGTGACATAGAATTACGAGAGATTCTCAGTGAACTTTTACCTCTTGTCAGAATGGATCACATACTACCACCTAACAGTGAAGCACTGGCTCAGGTAAGAATCTTCGAATCTGCTTAAAACACGCGAATTCTTTATTTCTGTGTAAACTATAACGGAAGTGTTCTATGTGTTTAGGCTATCAGGAGGGGGTTGGTATCAACTCCGCCGAGTCATATGATAGGAGATGAAAGAGAGAACCTCCGTATGAACGCTTGGATAAGGGGAGGGAAGAAGAACGGATTTTTCGTAAGACCACGATTATTTATGCCGTACTATGAAGAAATAAAGGTATACATCATTTTACTTGTGTACGTGATGTTTATCGGCTTATAGACTTAACATTGGCCATCTTTTTACAGTCTTTAGTTGAGGAACAAATGGTCCAAGAAGCAGATTTGGTGAGATTACGAAGGCCACGGTATGTTGCCGATATTCCAGATGCCTTGTACATGGTTGATGAAAAGCCCAGACCAATAGGCACGGCTGGCGTGGATGTTCTCGCTGCTGCGTTTCCAGGTACTTTAACTGTTACTTCTTGATCGCGTGTTCTTTTAAAGAGAACTTGTACAGTTTATGTTTTATTTAAGTTCCAGATTCAGTAACCCTGGCAGCTATGATGAAACGTGAGCAGAAGTTGAGGCAGTCTCCCAGTTGTCAGAGGGCTATTAATCTACCGCTGTCGTCACGTCACGAAATCAACAGACAGGTACGGCTACGTGTTGTGAGGGAGTTCAACTTACCTGATACAGTGGCGGATCTGCTAGAGGTGAGTGCTGTTTAATCCCCTACATTGATGTGATTTATAGTTAGAAATTTAGTAAATTTTAATAAAGATAAAAAAGTGAAACAAATGATCATAATTATAAACTTTAATGTATATAAACAAATATATACATACTTCTGTTCATACTATTTCTACAATACCAGTGCATAATTATATTTCAATTTTAATTGATTTACGGCTTGTAAAGTTTAGTGCTATGAACTACTCCCTGCAAATCAAAATATTGGTCCAGATCTTATATATAATCTTATATGTATATCAATTCTGTAAACAATGTCCTCGATGTATGATATTAGTATTCAACATTTCTGTTTAACTGGGAAGTCAATTGTAGTATGCTGTTCATTGTTTAAATCAAGAATGAATAGCAGTTAGAATTATTACGTTTCACCGTTGCGTTACATAAAATGTACACTGTTATCAGATTGCATCTGTCGATGAAAAACAAAACAAGATTTCGTTCCCGACATCTCTATTTCACTAGACCACAAAGTAGGTACTTGTAGAACATGACGATTGTATAAATTAACGCCACGTAAGAGATATGCCGCCATAAACGTCAAAATTACTGCAGACTCTTATGAATTTACATAACAGTATTGATTATGCAGCAATTATATTGCCTAAGCACTTTCCGATTAGATAAGTTTAGTTGCGGTTAACAAATTACTTTCGTTGGAAAATACTACTTCTTAATTATTCATTATATATATAACTTTTATATAAAAGTATATAACTTTAACGCTTGGAAAAGCGTTAAAAAGAATCACTGTCATATTTGGTTTTCTCTTGCAGTTGTACAACTCTTAGATATCACGTGTTATTTATCTCTAATATTTTCTATGTACACTAACATTCATACAAATATAATTTACAATTTTCAATAATACAGTACAATGCACGCATAATGCATGCGTTCGTTGTCCCTGAATTTGTACTTCAAAAATATTCCCGTGCAAAAATAATATTCATCAATAACAATTTCTTTAACAATAGAATAACAAACGGGCCGTGTGTTATATAATTAACCATCCTCGTTTGTCGAACAGCTGCACAATTTGCAACAATTTCTGCCTGTACACGCCATCGGCAGTTCGGTTCGAGAACGGGTCACCCTTCACGTCCTTCACTTCTGGAGCAGACTCTTTCGGTGCCTGGATCACCTGCGCCATCATGATGCACTGATTGAACTTGATTGGCCCACAATAATTCACGATCTCGTCAAATTTCTTTTTAGAGAACTTCTCCGTGTCCACCTTCAGTGTCGCTAAAGACTTCACGAAGCAGGTGTAATAGTAGTCGATCATGTCGTCCAGTTCGTTCTTCAAAATGTCGTTGTTCGCGCTGGAGATGAGGAAAAAGATAAGATCCTTGGCGCCATAGTCATAGAGGCACAACTGGAAGTCAACGATTTTCATGTCGATCAGCTCCCCGTGTTCGTCGTGCCTGAACATCATGTTATTCACCCAAAAATCATTGTGCACCACCGTCGCCCATGGTTCCTCTGGTTCTCTAGAGTTTTTATTCAACTGTATACCATACTCAATGGTTCTATCTATGCGGTCGAAGTACGGCTTTGCCTCCGGAATGTCCTTTAAGTCTGCCTGCGCCTTTTTAATCATATCGAGCACGCATTTCTCCGATGTCTCGCTTAAAAGTTCCTTCAACACGTCCGGCATTATTTTCTGGAAGATTTGGGGTTTCTTGATCTTCAGCGCTATGGTCAGAGCGTGTAGCTTGGCCAGTTTGTCCAGCGCGAATTTTACGTGCTTCCTGTCCAGTCCGTGTATTCTGTCTTCAGTGTCGTAACCATTGTATTTCAGGTTCTCCAGAATGATCACTGCCTGCTCGTCGAATATATCCTCGTCGCGCAGACCCAGTCTTCCTGCGAAGTATCTTGGTGCCACGACGCTCAGGTTTTTCTCGTTCACTCCGCTTTCTAATTGGAGCTTCTCGAGCTCCCTCATCATCGTGCTGTAAGCTTGCAGCTCCTTACGAAATGTCACTGGACTGTTGAACAGATCCAACAAATACGCCGAAGTAGGTGGCAGCTTGGCAACGAGGTTCAGGGTCTGCGTTTTGTTAGCCCGCGTTACTATCAAGTTAATGGCCAGCATAATGCTGCCAAAGTTCTCTCCCGGGGCTGTCAATGGTTTCCATTCCAGGCTCTTTATTTGAAAGTCCGTGCCGAGGGTATGGATCAGCAGCTTTTCCAGGTTCTTCACTGGCGACGTTTCGACGGATGGAGTCATTGTTCACCTGAAATTACATTTATTAATTGTTTAAAGGAAGTGTTGATTTTTGTGGTATTCTGTTTGGGAATTATATAGGGCGGGTAGTAACTTTGACATCATGAATGATTTCTCTATTTCAGAATGAAAATTAGAAATAAATTAGAATTAGAAAAGAATTGGAAAAGAATTGGAAATTTTCCAAAAATTTCTATCTATGAAGAAGTCATGTTTGAAAGGTTCTAATCTCCTGAGTATCACATACTTTCTTTAAATAAAGTTTCATTTCTATTTGATATTTTATTTCTATTTCTATTTTTTCATATTTTGTTTCTCAGTCAATCTATATTGCCAGCCTTTAGTCTTCGAGCAAAGAGCGCTTCTGTAATTCTGTAGCTGTTTTTCCGTGTCACGTACAGCATCGCGTAAAACTATAGGCAAATAAGAACTATTTATAAGTAACGTCGCGCGACATTAGTCATCTGTCATTGTTGATTGTTATGGTATGCCGCGTTCAAGCGTTACGTAATTTCAATTATCATATGTATCATCTTCCTCCTGATATTGAGATTCGTTAGTCAATTCTCAAAGACTCATTGCATATTTTTACTCGCTGTGTTTAAGCCTCATTCGAAATTGGACACGTTTAAGCATCATGTCGACGAATTTCCTTTTAGATACTCACGTTTTCGACAGTCTTGTATTATTCAATTACAAAACCAAATTCTCGCGTTTGAATCATTAATCAAAATTATCCTTTCCACGCTTCACTCGCGGAAATGCGAAATCCGACACACTGCTCTGTGCTAGAGGAGTAGATATAGAATGAGCTATTCTAGGCGCCTGAAATCAAGTGAGCAGCTAACGATAACATTTATCAGCAGTATCTACCTCTTTTTTTATGTTAACTTTATCATATACTGATTAGAATCCTATCGCCATATTGTTTGTTTTGAAACTTTTATCTATTTGCAGACAACCAGTGATCATGCAAATTGAAAATATAGATCGCTGATCCTTTTTATCCTGACAGGTTGACCTTAAAAATTTACTTTTTACGAAGAAATAATTGGAGTATACGTTTCGTGGATTGTCGCGTTATGACACGTCGCGTCTTCGACGAAATTGCTAAAAGTTTGCGTTTTGAATAGGAAAATTCCCTTTTCATAGAAGTTCGACGACTATTCGATCTTTTTAATCATTGGATCCTCAAGCTTTTCAGAAAAAAAGTCGATTATCGAAGCTTAGCGTCCATCCAGAAAATCGGAAAGTACCGATAAGAATATTTCAATATTTTAATGAAGCACTATTTAATATAAAAAGACGTCGACGTTGTCGGTACGTTTATTAAGGTCTCTAACAAACCTGCGAGGTTTCAAGAAAGTTGATGGAACTCCCTTGCGAAACGAAACAAAGGATCACTAACAATGCGGTGCTGCTGGTACTTAAGTACTAGTTTGTGTTTTTAGCTTCCGAGAAATCCGTTCGATTAATTAAGCATCGATGATTTATGCGATCGATAGCATAGTGCGTACATGGGTGCAAATGCAAATCAGCTTTAATGGTTCAACTTTTGCGATCGAGGCGGATAAAGGTAGAGGCGTTGCTGGCGATCCGCATCTTGGTAATTTCTAAAAAACTTGCATCATCGGGTTACACGTGGTTTTGCGGCGTATTTGTTCAGTAGAATCGTTCACGTGTCTAATTGCCTTAAGTAGATTCAACGATAACGAAAACAAGCAGACGCCGCGAAGCACCGATGGTTCAGGATGCTTAAATAATTTGCGGTTAATTAGAAATCGCCTTGTCGCTCGAAGACATTAGCGACAATGCGTAGAATGTTCGTTTATTGAACTACACGGCATATTCGACTTTTTACGTGTCTTTTACAAGCCTTGCGTCGCTTCTTTTAACATTAGATTTACGGACATTTATTGCATAGTTTATGCTGTCGCTTCTAAGAAAATTGATGTTCGTTCATTTAGATCTTGGAAATTAGAGGTTTAACAGTAGACAATTAATTTATTCTTAATAAATTCGTATAATCATATGAACTGAAATCAACGTAAACGTTTACTGAATAATGTTTGTGAAACTTCAGATTTACTGACCAAATTTTTATAAAAATTAGAACACGTTTCTTGATTCGAAGGATCTCCTAGTCTTGTATATGCACAAGTGGACAAATTTAATTGAAAGTTTTTCGCGAAAACGCCTTCGTAATTGAAATATTTGCAAAATTAAAATTCTAAAATTGGTCAATTTGAACCAACGAAGTTTTAGGGTTAAAAAGATACTGATTTTCTTAGGAAAATTCATCTAACATTGAAAATTATTTCTCTTTTCTGATCGTTTCAATTTTGTATTCAGTTTTCTGGGCAATAATGTTTGACAGTGAAATTATTTAATTACTTTACACTATTCAATTTAATAGTTACTAAAGTATTTAACTTCTTTAAAATGCAATATATTAAACTGCCATAATTTATTATGTTTGTATAATATATATCGAAGTACGGGAACAGTGTGCCTTTTGCCAAACGAATTCGCGTTACACATGCACGCTTAGATAGCATTACACTAATGTATCTGGATTATTAATAGTATTTCCTGATGCATATGCAATTCTGTATTCTGCTGTCTGCTGGAAACCATTGTAATTTATGCGATAAAACGCTTCGCCAATTTTACAGCTGGGAGATAAGTTTCACGTATTAATTAAACGCCCCTCGATGTAATCAATTTCAAACAGAAAGTGTAGAGACACTTACATACATCTAACCATTTACTCGAGAATAGATTTATCAGAAAATTAAATTCACATGTGTGTGCGCGTGTTTGTGTTATGCGCGATAATGATACTTTCTACTCTTCAAAGAATATTCACATTTCTAAAATGTAATATGCAAAGGTCGGAACTGAATCGAAATGACTTTTCTCTGTTATTAATAGAATCCCACTGAAAACAATGAAGAATATCGAAGCACCTTCATTAAATTCATTAGTTTCTCTACAATTTCATAGATAACATATTACTGTTTATGCAATATACATTGTTTCAGCAACAAAATGGCCAAATTTATTGAAATTCATGTACCATTTTATTTATAAGATATTCCGTTTTACAGATTATTCTCCTTTCTCTCACAATTTTTCTTTTAATCGATCATCAGACTTTTAAGACTTTACTTTTAGATTCTACGAAAAACAATACCACTATAATTAGAATTAATTGACGAAAATACCTAAATTATCGTATGATAATGCAACAAAGATCGTTTCCCTGAACAGGTAAAGGCTGTTTAAGTTTTTCCGGTCGAAGATCGCGGGTTGAATCTTGATCAACGATTTTCTCCGTGTAACCGACGCAAAATAACGGTGACAGATTATTTATAATAGCGAGGAGCAGCGCGATGTTATCGGGAACAACTTCCGCGATGGTCCTTAAACAGCGTTTTCACACGCGAATGGGAGGGAATCTCGGCGGGCTTGAATAAATTACCGGTGATTTCTGCTTCCGACGGATCAGCCGTCACGTGAGCATTTTGTTGCAACGTGCAGCGCATTCCGCACGATTTTCGGTCGGTTTAACCGTTTGAGTGGCACGTGCCTTTGCGGACACTTCTTTGCGAACTTTGCTACACTGCTTTTGTTTCAGCTCAGAAATTGAATTATGCTTTTCTATTTGAAATTGATTTGTTTTATTTGATAATATTTTGTAATAATTATTTTATAATCAATAAAATTTATATAATTATATATTAATTATATATAATTATATTAATATTAATTATATATAATTATCAATTATATTTTATTTAATATATAAAATATTATCAAATAAAACAAATCAATTTATATATATATTATTATAAAATAATTGTTTTAATTATTACATTTGATGCTATAATAATAATATAATAAAACGCAGCGTGTTGCAAAGTATCTATATTATATATAATATATACTATAGTATCAAATATAATAATTAAAACAATTATTTTATAGTAAATGAAACAAATATTATATATATACATATTCTATTTCATTGATTTATATCTACGCAGCGACATTTTCACGGAAACAACTAGTGTGCATTCAGCCTAGATGCGAACGCACTTCATGCATCCCTGGCGAAATGCGTTCGACTTCGTTGCATAACGCGACGGCAAGCAGTTGCACACGCCACGATAGATTGTTATCAGGGAAATTGAACGCCTTTATAGAGACTGTTAGTTTCGAACGACGATCATTTGTCGTAGAATTGTTTCAAGCATTCAGTGAATTTTCACAACTTACATTCGGCTGTCCCTTAATTTGAAAATAGTCTTTGATTCAGTATTCGGTGAATTATCAGATAAATATGATTGTGATTTTGATAAACCAGATGAAATGAATTGATAAGATGGCTTTCCAATGAAAAGTTATTTACGTGTTTCTTGCACTTAGTTTACATAACACTGGAAAACACAAAGAATTTAAATAATATAAGGCAGTAACTATGTATATTATAGTTATAATTATAATGTTACTTCTCTGGCAATGTACACGTTCTTTTTCAAACGCATTCTGCAAATTATTTTAAGCAGCAAATATTTATGGAAGTTTTAAAAAATACTGGAAGACATAACTTTTCCCATTACCAATAATCTTTTGTCTATATTTCATAGTTATCTTATCTGTTTCTGCATTATGAAGGTCTGCTAATCGTTAGACTAACGCAAGATAACGCATTTAAACTCAGTACTAAGAAATGACTAGTTTAAATTAACTAACTGTGCATAAGACTTGCATATTATGTACGAAAATTCTTTGTTACATGAGAAATATGGGGATTAAAGAATTCTCGTTTAAAGGATCCCTTACAATATGACTCAGTTTCACTTTAATTGCTTATGTATTAAAGAGAAAATTAATTAAAACACTGTTTCCAAGTTGATAATAGTCAAAAACCAAAATATTGCGATAATGATAAGTTTATGTATTCTATTTCGTTAAAAGGAAAATTTTCTTCCGTTTCTAAATTTC